ATAAATTAATGTAGTAGATCATTCCCCTTAGGAGTCCTTTGAATGCCAAAAGACATTCAAAGGAAGGAACTGTGAATGAACCAGTAGCTCTGTGACGTTTCAATAGAAGTTTACTTCTGTTGTTGTCAAAAGCAGCTAAAGAGGAAATTATGCCGTTATAACCACACAGTGTGACAGTTCATATACCGTCAGTTTATAAAACAAAGAAATGCGCTGACACTGCCGATGCTCTGCCAGAGCTGCGCTGCAGCCACACAGACTTGTTGTTTCAGAGGTTTATTGTCTTCAGTCTGGTTTTCATTACACGTCGATGACAAATTGTAGCAAGATCAAGTGGCGTTGTTTCACTGGAAGTTGACATTGATTATCTATAGGTGTACAGACAGAAACCTCCGCTGCAGAGCTATCCTGTGGGAGTGAAAAATGCCACAGACTCTGCTCAATTTTTACAAACCCAAACAAATTCATGAATCTCAAAGTTTGTGGTTTAAAAAGGTAAAATTTGGACATCAAAAACTGATGGTGTGTGAGTGCAAACCATATTTCATAGGTTGAAAACACTGATTAATAAAAAAGCTAAATATATTACTGTGATTTGAACAATCCCACAGTGACCAACAGTCTCTAACCCTTACCCATCCTGTTAGCAAAATATCCCATGAGCTGACCTTAACACACAAAAATAGCAACATTATTTTGAGCCAAAACTGTGTGATGGTAGCTGAGAGTGTTCCCCAAAATAGATCCTAAAGGATAACAGATTGCATATGCTTTTTGTTTAAAGTTTTGTCATTTACTATTTTGTAGTCAACTCAGTCTGTCTGTTAGCAAAATATCTCATGAACCACTTGATGGATTTCATTAAAGCATCTAGGACATAATCAATGGATAGGCATCTACAACTCACTAACTTTTAGGGCCAGCGGATGGTTGTGGCTGAGTGGTTAGTGCAGTTGTCCTTCAATGCAAGAGTTGGGGGTTTGACTCCACCAGCAGTCACATGCCGAAGTGTCCCTGTGCAAGACACCGAACCCCTCACTGCCTCTGATTTGTGTCCCATTGATGTTTGAATGTGATAAAGCTCTGATTAGTCTTTGTAGAGATGCAGAAGAGTGCTGTATGAATAGATAAACGAGGGAACAGATTGGTGTAAAGCTCTTTGAGTATCTTGATAAGATAGAGAGGAGTTCAAGTATAAAACTAAGTATGAGACTGAAACTTTAGGGGCCAAGATGGGGTAGAGGTACGGCAACCGAGTCGGGACCCGAAAGTCCCAGGTTCGATCCCCAGCATGTCGTGGTGTCTCTAAGAAAGACACCCAATCCCTAATTGCTCACCAGGCGCCCACATAGCTGCCCACTGCCCCACCTGGGTGCATCCCAGGTGCGACGAGCCAAATGCAGAGAACTAATTTTGCATTTGTATGGGAATATAGAACGATGACAACACGTAGCACATGTAAGTATCTTGGGGTTTTGTTCATGAGTGAAGGAAGAATGGAGTGTGAGATTGACAGACAGATTGGTGCAGCGTTTGTAGTATTGTGGACTCTGTACTGGTCCATTGTGGTGAAGAGGGAACTGAGCTGTAAGACAAAGCTCTCCGTTTACTGGTCAGTCTGTGTTCCTACCCTCACCTCTGGTCATGAACTCTGGTAAGGATGTTCCCTGGGTGCCTCCCTAGGGAGGTTCTTCGGGGATGTCCAACTGGGAGGAGACCCCGGGGAAAACCCAGGACATGCTGGAGAGTCTATGTCTTGCAGTTGGCCTGGGAACACCTTGGAGTCCTCCCAGAAGAGCTGGAAGAGGTGGCTGGAAAGAGATGGACCTACCTGCTCAAGCTGCTGCCCCCGTGACCCGATTTCAGAACAAGAGGAAGATGATGGATGGATGGATGGATGGATGGATGCATACGAGCTATATAAGTGCAGTCCATTTCCCATTTCCAATACAATTCAAGATGGCTGACACAACCATCTCACATTATAACAGAAAACTGGCAATAACTAAATCAATTTTTCTGCTTATTTGCTCAAATTTAATGTAGCTGAGAATCATATGCATGACTTATTCTGCGTTTGTCATGTGTTTTTTTACTTTTGGCTGAAGTAGAATAATTATAATAATATTTTTATTAACATTCCAGCTTAAGTCACAGAAAGTTGCAGCAGCTATTCCAAAAATACACAGCTTGGTTAGCATTTATTTTTGAATCAGATCCACACAAATGGGAAAAATAAGCTATTATTTCAGGATTCATGCGAGACTGAAGTGTTACTTTCCTCTCTGGAGAGCCGGAGCGTTTGTAGACGAAGTCTTAATTACCCAGGACAGGATATTGAGAAACGGCACCGAGCGCCCTGCAGTCAGACATCGCACATTCATACTCTCAGAAATACACTCGGAGACAAACACAGACATAAAATACTTCCTATTCCTCCTGTTTAATATGCACATCGTTCCCATGATTCTTGTCACTTGTAGTTATCAGACGATTCTGCGTATCTGAAGGGATCCCCGATGGTTGATCTCTGCTTTATTTTTTTATACTTTGGAGTAGTTTTCCTTTTCATGGAGAAGCCCCCAAGAGAAAGCTTGTTGTGGAGTGTGAGTTTTTCTTTTCATGGACCTTTTGTTTCAAGGTTAAACTTGAGGATTTTTCTTTCTACCTCTTTCTTTTGTTGTGTGAAAGACCAGAGGTTTGATTGAAACCATAAATCTGTTTGACAGAAACGCCTGAAGTTTGATCGACCCTCACGCTGGTCCGAGAGGTGAAATGTCAGCTCCTCTGAGTCGTTCCTTTCACTAGAGATTAAAAAACTTTCGAACAAATTCAATTTTTGTTACCACTTTAAGACCCAGTTAATATTTTGCACTTTATTACAATACCTGAAATACATATTGATAAAAAAATATGTGTATGCCACAAAAGATCAAATACATAATTTGGTCATTAATTGAAATAACTTGTTCAGTTTTATTGATACCACTTTACAGTAAGGCTGCCCTTATAGATGGTTAATAAATAGTTAATAGATAGGTATTAATCCCTCTATAAACACTTTATAAATCAATAATAACTGCTTATTATGCATTAATTAAGGGTGACAGACAAAACTGACCAGTTTCTTGCCAAATAGTGAGCTAAATATATTTACCTATACATTTTATCTAGAGTTGTTGTATAAAATACTCTGCCTGGCCAAACAACGGATGTAACTAATGAAACAGGTCCGAGCCTCCTGCTGGATCATCACTGCACGGATGATTATGTTTCAGCTGCAACAAGTTCTTTAACTCCAACTGGTGCGATGAGTTGCTTCTCATTTCTTCAACAACATGATGAAAGACTCACGGTGGTCGTGGAGAAGATGTCAGTCTGTTTGAGAAGAGTCGAATCATTGGCATCAAGCAGAGGAAACATCTCAGGAGATTGTAGAAACTAAAACTGGGTTAAGAACTGTCCAACACTTTTCCAACACGTTTCACTTATTCCTGTTTAAAATTGTCCTTTAAGTTTTCATTTTCTTGTGATTTTATAAACTGTGTTGAAAAATCACAGTGAAGTCAAAACAAGTTACAGGCAGTTTTACAGAGTTTACAACGTCAAGCTATAATTTATCGCCAACGTTTAAAGGTTTAAAATGTTTAAAATCTTGTATTTTTCTGTTGGCAAAGAGCACCTTCATGTTCTACAGTGAACTTGTGTGTTTGATGCGACATTTCAAGTTTATTAAAAACAAATGAGTTTTAGATATTTTGAAATTTACTCTTTATTTTTACAAGCTCATATGCTAATAAAGAATTGAACTAGCTAAGTAGTTTTTTATGCACAGTATGGTTTTATATGGACGTATTATATGGTGCAATTTTATAATTGTGTTCAGCTTTTAAATTTATTTTACTGCATAAAATGTAAACAACCAATTTTCCTTCTATAGTCAGTTTAGTTAAACCAGCTTTCTTAAAACTGCACAAATGCCCATTAATTTTTTATATAAAATAAATAATTAAGTAATGTTTTTTTAATCATAAACTTGCGTTTAGTACATCTGCAACTAAATACAATTAGTTTTGCTCTAATTTGTTGTTTTAATTTTGTTGTTTGTTTTTTGTGAAACAAAAATAATGACATAAAAAACAAAGTAACTAAATACTCACCTGTCCTCAGAACAATAAAACTGGTGTACATATTTTTATGGAGTGCTTGTAACAATGATAATATCAAAGTTTAAACCCATAATTTTAATAGAAGAGTTTTTCTAAAAACACATAAAATGTAGAGATGAAACTTCAATGAGACACCAAATAACTATTAAATTAATTAATTAATTTAATTTATTGATTTATTTGTCTGTTTGCGTCCACTTTTTTTTTTTTACTTTAGAAAATTATAATAAACTGTATTTTTTACAATACAACTTTATTCATAAAGTCTAAACAAATTAAGTCTGGCCCTCTGGACATATTGGCAGTTGTCCAGAGGACCAGACTAAACTTTTTCATATTTTTCAACCTGGATTATTGATCACGCATCAGGATATTTTTCTACCTGGATTATTGATCATGCATCAGGATATTTTTCTACCTGGATTATTGATCATGCATCAGGATATTTTTCTACCTGGATTATTGAGCATGCATCAGGATATTTATTCCTAAAGCACTTTAAATACAACACCGTTGGCCAAAGTGCTGTACACCAACACAAACAAGCATAAAAACAATAAAAATCAACTGATACTGTAAAAGTAATGAACTGCCAAAATCATAAAACAATAAACAGTAGAATAGAACAAATAACTTAAAACAGTAAAAACAACATTTCAAGCCGAGTTAAAAGCCAAATAGAAAAGTGTCTTCAGAGAAGATTTAAAAACAGTTTTGAGTGGATTAAGATATATTTATGCAACATAAAAATGATTTTATTCGTCATTACATCTATATAGTGTATTTGTACTAACATGACACTGATGTTCCCGTCGTCTCTTGTTTCTGCAGGTTCGAGCCAGTGCCATCGCTCAAGACGCTGACCAGAACTATGACTATGCTTCCAACAGCGTGATCCTCCATCTGGACGCAGGTGATGAGGTTTACATTAAACTGGATGGAGGCAAAGCCCACGGCGGCAACAACAACAAATACAGCACCTTCTCTGGCTTCATCCTCTACGCAGACTGAGAGCAGACAGTCCAACAGGAAGAGACTCGAAGAAAGCGTTTCACGACAAGTGGGGAGGCTTTGTGTGTGTTAAAAGCCAGAATGCTTTCCAGTTTCCCTAATTCTCTCCATCATCACGGTCACCTCTGCTCCACATCCGTCAGCCAAGACTCCCAGGCTCCGCAGCCAAGCCTGGATGCAAAGCTCTCCGAGGACACACTGAGCCTGGCTAGCAGGTGGCGTGGGAGGAGTGGGATGTTAGATGGGCTGGTTTCGCCGCACTCCTTGCCATTTTACCGACGTGTCAGAACCTCCTCACTTTCAGCGTCTCTCCTCTTTAGCCCCGCTCCATTGCACAGAAGTATCAGCATCAACGACAACCCTGCAAAAGTGGAAGATTATACCTCTTTGCTCCACGGTGACAGCAGTCAGCCCTGCCTTCTGTGGACTGGACTGACTGAAACTTACCGTGCTGTTCCGTGCAGTTTTACCTAGATTGTGATTTATTTTGTAGACAATGCATACTATTGTACACAGAAGAGATTTAGACAAAAAAGAGACTATATTTGTCCCTTGTGAAGATTTCCTGTTTGAATGAGAGATGTTAATTGTGCTGCATATAAGAGATCTAACAGCTGGAAAAGAAATATATAAATTTCAGTATTCTATTGCAGTGGGTGTTTTCTTCATCATTGAATAACTACTGTATATATTATTCATGTGGAGAATACATTCTGCACTTCTAATATATATATATATATATATATATATATTAAAAAGGAAATGTACTGACAGCGCCCCAGCTCTGGAAACCACACCGTTTCTTATGCGTCATACAACGTCCTGTTGCTTTTCAGATTAAAAGCAAAGTTTAAATAATCTTTCCGTTGGTCTAGCTTTGTGTAAATGCTCCACTTGGCACAGCTAGCCATGCGACGAAATAAATCTGGAGATTCAGTGGTAACCCGGTCGAGGAGCGCTGATCCTTTCTTCTGCTGCAACGTTCTCCAAGCTTTCTTGCTCAGAAAAAAAAAAAACATCTGGCTTCTGGTTCAGAGGAAGAGAAAGTCACAACACAACAGACAGAAGATTTTAAGAAGAGGCGATAAAGTCAAAAGGTGTTGGAGCAGATTTACCAGTGAGTGGTCAGTTCTGTTTGTTCCAGCCTCTCCGCTGGAGGTCACCCATTCATTGGCTGCACATTCAATGGCGTAAAGACGTTGTGGTAAGAGTTGGTCAACATGTTGCCCGGACAGATTGCTCCACAATGAAACCGATTGGCCGAGTGAATTTGCCCATAATGACTGCACGTTCGAGTGTACGTTTCTGTATGTGCGTATGTTTATGTGCATATCTGTGCGTTTGCATTTTTTTAGCATGTACTGTGCCACGACGACATCCTTCTTTCCTCAGGGTTGCAGCATTCTGTGCTGCAGCCAATGGCGGATATTTAACTGATTGTGCTCTTTGGGACGGAGCCTCTATAGCTGCGACAACAAGAACAAACAGCTTGTAATTGAAATCTATGACTTGTTTATCTTATCTTTTGGAACTGTTGAATACATTTAAATAATAAATGGGAATTTTTTTGAGTGACTTTTCTTCTGAGAATTCTTGAATCCCAAATACACCAATTAGGGAAAACGAGCTTCAAAGGATCTCCTTCGCCGTGTGAGACTAACTCGCTAAAACAAACATTATGAGTGGGAAATTGTGTTTCTTGTTCCGCGTAAGCTCTGAATCTTAATAATGGACTCTCAGAGCAAACAAGAATAATAAAATAAGGATCTAATCAGAACGCCCCTCTGTTTTCTCTCAAAAGAGTCAAATATATTTTGGGTTAGTGGCGTCCGGGGAGAGGTATGTTGTGTTTATCCCGTCCTGAATCCTTCCCGGAGCTTGGAAAAGGTGCTCCGGAAGATAATAACCTTCCAACTTTAGCAACATCCCACCGGTGGAGCACGAACATTTCTGAATGCAGATGAGTCCCGAAGAGATTGCAGGCTATTCCTTAGATGGCAATCACGGTGTCTTTTAACAGATTCTTATAGACAGAGGCAAGATATGCAGAGTGAGAAAGTGAGGACGCAGAAGGAAAGACGGGGAGAGGAACGACAGAGAGAGATAGGCGAGGAGCAGAATATAGTTTGACAAAGACAGATGGAGACACAAGAGAAAGAGTGGGCCAAAGAGGGAGGTAATGGGGAGGGAATAGATACAGAGGGGGGAGGGTAAAGTGAAATTTAAGGAAGACAGACAGACAGCGAGGCAAGCTGGTGCCGATTTAGGGTGACGAAGGAGGAGTGCTGGATTGTTTTCAGGGTGGAGTGATTCCCCAAAGGGACTGTGTAAAGTGTCAGCAGAGATTAGTGAGCGTGAAGCAGGAGGGGAGAGCTTGAGCTAGCTGAGATTGGACAAGTGTCAAGGACTGGACATTCCTCAGACCTGCCAGGAACGGCATGTGACACCGCCTGCCCTACCTTGATCTTAGGAGAGCCCCCCCCCCCCGCTGTCCATCATTTTAAATCATTTTAGTGACTTCATAGAACTCTGAAACAAGACACACACACACTGCTCATGATAATAAACTTTATTTTGTGCCGTTTTAATACAATTAGCTAAAACAGGTAATCATAAGAAATAGGTTGACCAGCTTTAAATATTTGAAACTATATATTATTATTACATCATTAAAAAATGAACAAGTTCAGTCATTTTTAAAATCATCAACACAAGTAAGTCAAACTGATTATCTTCTGAGAAAGTAAATCTTTAGATTTAGAAGTGTGTGTGTGTTGGGGGGGGGGGGGTTGAGAATGTTAGTTGTTGAATGGTAAATGGACTGTACTTTATATTTCACCTTTCTATCTTATTTCAAGATACTCAAACTTTACAACAATCTGTGCCTCATTTACCCATTCATACAGCTCTATACTAGATCTCTACAAAGATAATTGAACAAATCATTCTAATGAGACTAATCAGAGCTTCATCACATTCATACACAGATGAGACACACGTCGGAGGCTATGAGGGTTCAGTGTCTTGCCCAGGGACACTTCAGCATGTGGCTGCTGGTGGATTCGAACCCCCAACTCTCGCATTGGAGGACGACTGCTCTAACCACTCAGCCGCCCCTATATGTTAGTTGTTGAAGTAACCATGTTGTTATTCACAGTTTCTCAGACAGTATGACGTTCTCTGGTAAAGTCTGGTGATGGTTCAGTGACTGCAGCGTTCGATTTACCAGTGACACGTTTCCTGTCTCACAGCATGAGAAGCAAGACCACAGCATGATTGATCCTCCGCTGTGTTCAACAGCTGCGAGGGTTCCATTAGCAAGAAACATACTTTTACTTTGTTTAAAATTAAAATTTTATTTTAATTTAATTGAGCGGTTCGCAGCTGAATGTGAAGCGGCTGGGATGAGATCAGCTCCTCCAAATCTGAGGCCACGGTCTTCAGTCAGAAAAAGATGGATCGCTCTCTTCAGGTCGAGGGTGAGGTTCTGCCTCAAGGGAAGAATGGAGGAGCGTGAGACTGACAGATGGACTGGTGCAGCCTCTGCAGTGTTGTGCACGCTGTACTGATCCTTGTGGTGAAGAGGGAGCTGAGCTGCAAGACAAAGCTCTCTGTTTACTGGTCAGTCTATGTTCCTCCCCTCACCTCTGGTCCTGAACTCTGGTAGAGACTGAAAGAATGAGATCGTGGATCCAGGAGGTTGAAATGAGTTTCCTCTGCAGAGCTGGACTCTCCCTCAGAGACAGGGGGAGAAGTTCAGTTATCAGGAGAGACTCAGAGTAGAACCACTGCTCCTCCACATCCAGAGGAGCCAGTTGAGGTGGTTCATCTGGTAAGGATGCTCCCTGAGCACCTCCATAGGGAGGTGCTTTGGGAATGTCTGACTGGGAGGAGACCCTGGGGAAGACCCAGGACACGCTGGAGAGACTACGTCTCAGCTGGTCTGGAAACACCTTGGAGTCCTCCCAGAAGAACTGGAAGAGGCTGTGGACAGAGATGTCTGGACCTCCCTGCTCAAGGTGCTGCCCCCGAGACCTGATCTAGAACAAGAGGAAGATGATGGATGGATGGATGGATGGATGGATGGATGGATGGATGACTTATATTAAATTCTGATTATATATTATTATGATACTTTTATGTATTTGAAGGAAATAAACTCAATAAATTAGTTACACAAGTGAGAAAAGCCATTCTGTTCCCAGTTTAGTTGAAACTTAGCGTTGGGATTTTGAAGGTTATTTTATTTATTTATTGTTGACAATCATCAGTGTTTTATTTTGTTCTGTAACATTTGGTTCAAGGTTGTGCCATCATTTTAACTTTTTACATTTTACTCAGGGCAGCACGGTGGCGCAACTGGTAGAGCTGCTGCCTCTCAGCGAACAGGTCCTTGGTTCAAACCCCGGTCCAGGGGCCTTTCTGAGTGGAGTTTGCATGTTCTCTCCGTGCATGCGTGGGTTTTCTCCAGGTACTCCAGTTTCCTCCCACAGTCCAAAAACATGCATGTTAGGCTGATTGGTAACTCTAAATTGTCCCTAGGTGTGAGTGAGAGAGTGAATGGTTGTTTGTCTCGTTTGTCTCTATGTGTCCCTGTGATGGACTGGAGACCTGTCCAGGGTGTACCCCGCCCCTCGCACAGTGATTGCTGGACATGGGCACCAGCGACCCCCGTGACCCAAAATGGAATAAGCGGGTAAAGATAATGGATGGATGGATGGACATTTTACTCACAGCAGATCTGTTGTTTATTCAGACACTGGCTTTCAAAAAGGTTTACTCACACTAAGATAAGTGTTTTACGAAACGCACACAACTACTTGTTTTCTAATTTAGTATAGGTTATACCTAGGAAATAAAACTGTCCCATTACATATTTTGTAGGTTCTGTAACGGCCCACATTGTATATTTTTGAGTTAAAACTGGGCATGAGAACAAAACAAGTATTACTTCTGGGGTCCAATTGAGTTTACCAAGAATATGAACCCAGCTGACTGAATAACTCTTTTTACATG